CCATCCCTCCCCCTCCTCTAAGTAAAGAGGACCCCTCCTCCCCCAAGTAAGGAGGGCCATAGGTTTAAGTACAGGGGAGACCCGACTGCCCTGGAGGTTGGGCTGCAACAGGAATGGCAGGGACATGGACACACCCTTCTGCCGGCCTCTGAGCGGCTCCCGGTATGTCTGCTGGCCAGGGGTGGCTCTGTTACCTTCCCCACTGTCTCCCATGGTGTTTCTCTCCTTCTGACCCCCGAAGCCTTTGATGGGTCACGTTCCCGCTGCCTCGCTGGGAAAGCTCTCCCCACCCCCCGCCTCACCAGTGGATTCTGTCTTATGTCACCCTTCCTCAGAGAAGCACTTTGCCCCTACTCACACTGGCTGGGCCATGCTCGTCTGATCAGATTAGAAGATACCCGTGCGTGGCTGGCGAGGGCAGGGCCTGTGTCCCCAGGGCCCAGGGAGGTCGGCAGGTGTTTCCCTGCCTCAGAGTCACTATACACACCTACACGGCGGGTCACAGTGGTCCCCTGAGAAAACCAGTGGAGCCACAGCTACGTGGGCTCGGCTGGCAAGGACCTCTTGTACCCGCGCCCCAGCCCCTGGCTTCCACCAAGTGGCAACAGATCATTCCTCTACATGTTCAAGTGCCTACACATCCAGACACTGCTGCCCTGGGCCCGAGGGATATTGAACAGGAAGACCCACCCTCGTGGAGCTTGGCCAAGGTCTCACTGCTGATCCGTTCCCTGGGGTGGGGGGTCAGTTTGCTGAGGCCCCAAAGCCCTTGGCCCAGGCCCGGCCCACAGCCACTGCTTGGTGGTCTCCCAGCCTTTAGGCCCGGCAGAACTGCTCCCTGGCAGGTCTTCCCTAAGTGAGGGGAACGGCCTCCATACCACCTCCTCACAGCCTCCACTGCTGTGCCCCACCCCTGCAGCCCAGTCCCAAGTGGGCGCCAGCCAGCATGGGCTGAACCACCCCACGCCTTACCAGGTCAGGAAAGTACGGCCTCGCGAAGGGCCTCTGGGCCCGCTGGTCAGAGGGCACGTTGGTGAGTTGCTCCAGGCAGAAGAGCTGGGGGATGTCGACGATGTCTTCCTCCGCCAGGCCCAGCTCCACCTTCAGGGTGTCCCTGTTCAGGCGGAGGCACTTCTGTAGGGTGGGAGGGCCGAGGAGAGAAAAGCGCATCGGGATGGAGAAGCCGTCTCCTTCCACCCAGAAGATGGGCAGGGCCCGAGGCAGCCTCTTCACCACCATGCGGGAGCCTCACGGATCAGGCCTTCTGACAGGGAGGGCAAGGGGAAGGGGCTCAGAGACAAGGCTGGGGTCCTCCAGCAAATCAGCCTGGGGACAGCCACAGGTCCTGAGTAAGGGAGCTTCCTGGCCCAGACCAGCTGAGCCCAACACCCGTGCCACCTCCTTGGGTCTCGAAACAGGCCTCAGACTCATGGCCCCCACACCTGGGCCCCATGCCTGGCTGTTCCCCACCCAGCTGCGCCAGGCGTCCTTCCCTGTCCTTTAGAGGCCAGGGCACCCATGCACATAACACACAGCCATGTGTGACACGGAACAGTCTTTGGCTGGGTGATAAGGACCTGGTGAGCGAAGCAGTTTTGCCCTGATCATGTGACTTTGGGGAGGAAATTGCCCTTCTCCGGGCCTAGCGTCCTTTTCTAAAAGTTGTACAGTATCCATCTAGGGACTGGTTGCTTCTCACAACCAGTGATCCACAATCTACAAGCTCTCGGAAGGCCTGGACACCACCTCGGGACTGCTGTGCTGGGCCACTTCCTCCAGGAAGCGTCAAGAAGGCCCCGGCCTGTTTCTGAGTCTGACACACAGAGCTTTCTGGGGGTAGGCCTCCTAAGGAAACGTCGGCCGTGTCACGGTTCTCCAGGAGGTGGCCATGAGGCCGTGGAGCAGTACATGAGAAAGGGTGAGTTTGGAGGTCCCCCGTGGGCTCTGACCCGGTTCCCCAGATGGCTGGTTCAGGCCAGCGGCTCGACCCTGTCCTCATCTGCAGGATGGGCTTCTCTGTAGGGCTGCTTCTAGGATTGTAGGACCTTGCCTAGGTCGTCCGGGCTTTTCCGGCTTGGGAAAGAGCCGGTCGCGACAGGTGGACTCATCTGACAATATCTAAAACCCACTGAGTGAGCAGAGTCTCTGTCTACTGTCCCACATGCCAGCACCCTCCCTGCCCCCATTCCGCCCCTGTAGTCCGGATCCAGGCCTTCAGCCTTCTTGGGTTTATAAATTGGAAAGCGGGGGTTCTCCTGCACTTCCTAGTCTCTTGCAAGCATGAGGCATGTCCTGTGCTGTTATGGCTCGAGACCTAACTCTTCTCATTCTGGTGCTGGTGTGCAGCCAGCCCTAGACCCCATCTCAGGCTGTGGCAGGACCCAGACTGAGGACCCGGAAAGGGCTGTGGGCAGCCACCCTCCCCCTCCCCCAGTAGGGAGGAGAGAACCTTCTTGGGGAAGGTCCCGCACAGTCGCGGACCTACCTCCACATACGCATTCTGCTTCCTCAGGCTTTCATCAGCGAGAAGCTGGTTGATGGTTTTGGCTTCCCTTCCTATGGGAAGAAGAGGGGGCAGGTGGCCGTAGGTCAGGAAGTGGACCCACTCTGGGCACGAGTGCCCTCCTGGGCCAGTGACTGGCGAGTGGCTTGGCTGGTCTCCAGGGATCACCCCCAGTCCAGCATCTTCCATCTGGGGTCTGCACCTGCACCTGAAAGCCCTGGCGGGACTTTTGCCATTGTCCACTGTGTCCCTGGGGTCAGGGGAAGGAGCCTGTGCCGGGCTTTGAGGGAAGCAGCCCAGAGCACAGCAGCAGAGTGACCCCAGCCCCTTGCTCACCTCCCAGTGGCGTATGACCTGTACAGCCTGGCGACCTCCCACCTGTGACCCGACTTTACCCCTCAGTTGCCTCCTCTCTGGGACATGCCCCATTCCAATTCATTCTTCGCAGTCAATAGAGGCCACGGTCTGTCACGTAGCTCATACTCGGTGTCACCGCCCTTAGTGCTCCTGTCCTCAGGGGGTCTGGAGGGGTGAAATCTCACTTTGCTAGCATGCTCCCAGGAGAAGGCTGAGGCTGCTGCATTTATTTTTTATTTTTATTTTATTTTATTTTTTTTTGAGTTGGAGTCTCACTCTGTCACCCAGACCGGAGTGCAATGGCCGCTCCCGGCCACCACAGCCTCGACCTGCTGGGCTCAGGCGATCCTTCCGCCTCAGCCTTCCAAGTAGCTGGAACTACAGGTGCGCACTACCACGCCCAGCTAATTTTTGATTTGGTGTAGAGATGAGGTCTCGTCAAGTTGCCCAGGCGGATCTCGAACCTGCGGGCTCAGGCAATCCATTCACCTCGACCTCCCAAAGTGCTGGGATTACAGGCTGAGCCACCGAGTCCGGCCAAGTCTGCTGCATTTAGACCACACTTTGAGTATTGAGAGTTTAGAAAACCTGATACCCCTAGTCCCCCTTCTGGGGAGAAAGTCCCTTTCTGTGTCTCTGCAGCATTTAGCTCAGAAGTTCTGTGGCACCAGCCACACCTCTGCTTGTCCACTTGTGCATTTCCCTAAGGGTGACCAGGACACCCATGAAGTCCCGATGCCCCAACATTCTTGGAATAAATCCAGACACTGGTATTGTTGGCGTCTATTTCTTCCCTACCCCCTCACCCCCAAACTTGGAGCCAGTCATGTGCTTCAAATACGTTTTGTATTTTATTTTTTTTAGTCCAGGTAAGCCTCCCCTCTCAAGCTCCCAAGTAGCTAGGACTACAGGTGCATGACATCATGCTCTGCTAATTTTTAAGTTTTTTTTTTTTTTTTTT